GCCACGGGGGACGCCCCTCCAGACCCCACCCAGGATTCTGATCCCCTCCCACGTCCCGATCCTCCCCCCACCCCTGCTTCCGCCCTCTACGAACCCATTTCCAGCCCCGAGTCCTCCCCTGCTCCCGATCCCTCTCCTGCCCCTATTTCTGCCCAACTCCCTAACCCCAATCCACCGTCTGGCCTTGAGCCCACCCTTCCCCCCGTCCCTGCCGTGGAAGAAACCCCTCCAGAAAAAAGCGGCAGCCATGTTCATGCAAATGCCACGGGGGATATTTAAATCCCCCGCGGAATTTGAAATTCCGAAGTGTCTCATTAGCATCCCTTTTACGGAAAAGGGTGCCAGTGTAGACAGCCCTGGAGTATTACTTTCTGTAGTGGGGGGCCCAGAACTGGATGCATTGGACATGGTCCAGTGGAGTGCAACCAGAATGATGAGGGGGCTGGAGCACATGATTTATGAAGAGAGACCAAGGGATTTGGGCTTTTTTAGTCTAGAGAAGAGTGAGGGGGGATTTGATAGCAGCTTTCAACTTCCTGAAGGGAGGTTCCAAAGAGGATGGAGAGAGGCTGTTCTCAGTAGTGACAGATGGCAGAACAAGGAGCAACAGTCTCAAGTTAAAGTGGGGGAGGTCTAGGTTGTATATTAGAATCCTAGAACACTAGAACTGGAAGGGACCTTGAGAGGTCCGAGTCCAGTCCCCTGCCCTCATGGCAGTACCAAGCACTGTCTAGACCATCCTGCACTTAAACACTGGAATAAATTGCCTAGGGAGGTTGTGGAATCTCCATCTCTGGAGATATTTAACCACCCTGACAGATAGGAAGTTTTTCTTAATGTCCTACCTATACCTCCCTTGCTGTGGTTTAAGCCCATTCCTTTTTGGCCTCTCAAGATAGGACAAGGAGAACAATTTGTCTCCCTCCTCCTAGTGACACTCTTTTAAATACTTGAAAACTGCTATTATGTCCCCTCTCAGCCTTCTCCTTTCCAAACTAAACAAGCCCAATTCCTTCAGCCTTCCCTCATAGCTCATGTTTTCTAGACCTTTAATCATTCTTGTTGCTCTTCTCTAGACCCTCTCCAATTTCTCCACATCTTTCTTGAAATGCGGTGCCCAGAACTGGACACAATACTCCAACTGAGGCCTAATCAGCGCAGAGTAGAGCAGAAGAATGACTTTTCGTGTCTTACAACACTCCTGCTAATGCATCCCAGAATCATGTTTGCAACAGTGAGACACTGACTCCTATTTAGCTTGTGGTCCACTATGACCCCTAAATCCCTTTCTGCGGTACTCCTTCCTAGACAGTCGCTTCCCATTCTGTATGTGTGAGACTGATTGTTCCTTCCTAAGTGGAGTACTTTGCATTTGTCCCTATTAAACTTCATCCTATTTACCTCAGACCATTTCTCAAGTTTGTTCAGATCATTTTGAATTGTGACCCTATCCTCCAAAGCAGTTGCAACCCCTCCCAGCTTGGCAGCATCTGCAAACTTAATAAATGTACTCTCTATGCCGATATCTAAATCGTTGATGAAGATATTGAACAGAACCAGTCCCAAAACCGACCCCGAGGAACCCCACTTGTTATGCCCTTCCAACACGATTGTGAACCGCTAATAACTACTCTCGTATAGTAGCCTCATCTAAGTTGTATTTGCCTAGTTTATTGATAAGAAGATCATATGAGACCATATCAAATGCCTTACTAAAGTCTAGGTATACCACATCCACCGCTTCTCCCTTATCCACAAGACTTGTTATACTATCCAAGAAAGCTATCAGATTGATGCGTCATGATTTCTTCTTTACAAATCTATGCTGGCTGTTACCTGTTGCCTTATTTTCTTCCAGATGTTTGCAGATGAAGTCCTTAATTACCTGCTCCATTATCTTCCCTGGCACAGAAGTTAAACTGACTGGTCTGTGGTTTCCTGGGTTGTTCTTCTTTCCCTTTTTATAGATGAGCACTATAGATTTGCCCTTTTTCAGTCTTCTAGAATCTCTCCCAACTTCCATGATTTTTCAAAGATGATAGCTAAAGTCTCAGATACCTCCTCTATCAGCTCCTTGAGTATTCTAGGGTGCATTTCATCAGGCCCTGGTGACTTGCAGACATTAACTTTTCTAAGTAATTTTTAAACTGTTCTTTTTTTAATTTGTTCTAAACCTACCCCCTTCCCACTAGCATTCACTATCTTAGGCATTCCTTCATCATCAAACTTCTTGGTGAAGACTGAAACAAAAGTCATTAAGCATCTCTGCCATTTCCAAGTTTCCTGTTACTGTTTCTCCCTCCTCACTGAGCAATGGGTTTTCCTCTTGCTTCTAACATATTTATAGAATTTCTTCTTGTTACTCTTTATGCCTGTAGCTAGTTTGAGCTCGTTTTGTGCCTTTGCCTTTCTAATCTTGCCCCAGCCTACCTGTATTGTTTGCCTATATTCATCCTTTGTAATTTGTCCTAATTTCCACTTTTTACATGACTTGTTTTTTATTTTTACATCATGCAAGATCTCCTGGTTAAGCCAAGGCTGACTTTTGCCATACTTTCTCTTTTTCCTATGCAGTGGAATAGGTTGCTTCTGGGCCCTTAATAATGCCCCTTTGAAAAACTGCGAACTCGCTTCAGTTGTTTTTCCTCTTAGAAAGCTGGTAGGTAAGGTCCCGTGGGAAGCAAGACTGAATTTACCAAAATCTACCTTCCTGAAATCCATTGTCTCTATTTTGCTGTTCTCCCTACTACCATTCCTTGGAATCATGAACTCTATCATAACTTTCGCCCAAGCTGCCTTCCACTTTCAAATTTTCAACCAGTTCCTCCCTATTTTGAAGAAACTATTTCCCTAGAAGGGTGGTGAAGCACTGGGATGGGTTCCCAAGGCAGATTTTTGGTAAGCTCAGAGAGCTGGTAGGTAAGGTCTCAGTAGTGGAATCTCCAGGCGAAGGTGAGCATGATAGCACCTACATCACCCAGACAGACATGGTTCCCTTACCTGTTGCAGATGTCAGTTGCTCCTCCGATTCCTCTTCCTCCATGGCCATACATAGTATACCAGGATGAGGTACTGCATTCAGAGGCTCACAAGCATCATCTGACCGCATGGCTCCTTCACAGTTAACAGTGCAACCCTTCAGTTGAATGAAAGAAGTAGAAAACATAATCCTTAATTGCCACCAACAAAGTACAAGGAAGACCTACTTGTACAAATGGTAGTGTTTTTTTCCCCAATGGGCTACCCATAGAGCACTTCAGCCACGGTCAACACAGCTCACAATGGTCTTAGAGTATCTCCTCGCACTTAACATGAAAAACTTGTCTAACACATCTATTAAGGTGCATCTTGCGGCCATATCTAGTGAGCGTGACATGGTGGACGGCCAAACTCTTGTCTCTAACCCGACCACCAAAAAAAATTCACAAAAGGACTTAATACCACCTTTCCTCCAGTAAAAACAATAATCCCATTTTGAGATCTCAACTTAGTCCTGAACACATTAACTCGTCCTCCATTTGAGTCCATGGCTACTTGCTCTCTAGCGCACCTTTCCACGAAGGTAGCATTTTTAATAGCAATTATGATGGCCAGAAGGATCAGCGAACTAGCCACCCTCATGGCCGACCCACTGTTTTACGACATTCTACAGAGACAAGGTTGTACTAAAACCACATCCGAAATTTCGTCCGAAGGTAGTCTCACATTTCCATCTCAATGAGCCTATATACTTACCAGTCTTCCATCAGAAGCCTCATCCAGACGCCAACACGGCAAGGCTCCATTCCCTGGACGTCAGGCACGCTATTGCCTTTTACCTAGACAACAAGACAATCACACAAGCTGTTTGTATCAATAGCACACCACTCTAAAGGACAAGCGATATCCAAGCAGACATTCTCCAAACGGATTGTGAACTGTATTCGCAAGTGCTATAACATCAGCAAAGTCGCATTACCTACATCCATGTGGGCACACTCTATGAAAGCAATGGCCACATCAACCGCCTTCTTGAATAACATGCCCATCAGAGACATATGCAGGACAGCAACATGGGCCTCCATGCATACCTTCACAAAACATTATGCATTAGATACTGACCATGCACAGCGTACCACCTTTGGGACAGTAGTCCTCTCGGCCATCTGCCAATGAGATCCAAAGCCCCTCCTCCATAGAGGCTAAGGGTACTGCTCCACAGTCACCTACAGTGGAGCGCCCACAGGGACACTCCTCGAAGAAAAGAGATTACTCACCTTGTGCAGTAACTGGTGTTCTTTGAGATGGGTGTCCCTGTGGGCACTCCACGACCCACTGTGCTCCCCTCTGCTTCAGAGCTTTAACACCTCTCTGCAGTAGAGAAGAAACTGAGGTGACGGTTGACGTTGCGAGCAATGCCAGTACCCAGGGGGAAAACTACTGCCAAAAAGTTCTGATTATAAGTGCAGGGCGCCGAAACACCTACAGTGGAGCACCCACAGGGACACCCATCTCAAAGAACACCAGTTACTGAACAAGGTGAGTTGTTACTCACAAATTATTCCCACTGGAGACCACCCAGGGTTACGCTAGTATGGATTTATTGATTGAGGAATTAACACTCCACTATATGGTTAAGCTAAAGAGGATAGAGCCGCCACTAAAAGTTTAAACTAAAGGGGAACCAGCTCTCTCTCTCACACACCCCCCACCCCCCTCAAGCACAGGAAATTCAAATCCTGGCTTCATTTGCAATATTGATGTGCCTAATTTACATCCCTCTCTCGAAAAAGGGATGTAGTCTAGACACACCTTAAAGGTTTAAACTAAAGGGGAACCAGCTCTCTCTCTCTCTCTCTCTCTCTCTCACACACACACCCCCTCCCTTCATTTATTCACTCTTTCTCTCTCTCTCTCTCACTCACACGCACACGCACACACACACATTCATTTCTGCCCTCAGGCACTCACACAGGCATATGGGTTGCAGAAGGAGCCAAGGCATGTTGTACCTGAAGGGTATATCTCCTGATCATGGCTGGGGAGCTGGTCAGAAAAGAAAGAGCTTCTGGCTGTAGAAAGAAGAACTTCACAGAAAGAGAGCTTTTGCTGCATGCTCTCTCTTTTTATTGCCTCTGTTCAACTCCTGTGATTCTTCCACAATCGTCACCAAGGAGCATGCCCAGACTTCCCTTGATTCAGATATCAGAGCAGCAATGTCTCCTTGATTGGTCTGATGACTCATCGCCTGGCTCCATGTGCTCAGCCTTGTGGTTTCTAATCCCAAACGCACAATGGTCTCCACTCAAACACACACATTCATATCTCAGGGGAGAATGCAGTTTAGAGCAAGTTACAAGCAGAGTGGATGGAAGTTACAAAGATTACAAAGTTGCAAGGCTGAACAATCACCAAGCTTACAGTAAATTTCTGAATTTATAAAGCAAAGTTGCTGAGAGTTACAGAGTTGCAAGGTTTTACAAAGATTACAATGAGTTGCAGATTTTAAAGGCAATGCAGCTGAAATAATTACAAAGCTTCAGAGAATCATTTACAAATCATCAGTAATGAAGTGATTTAGAAGACAGCTGCCCCGCCCCCGCACAGCAATGCAGTCAGCAGGAGGTTTTTGTCAGTCCTTAAGTCATGTGTTGGCAGGACCTTACAGTTTAGTGTATTTCCAGAAAATCCACATGTAAAATCAAGTAATGGCTTGGGTGGAGGCTTTATGTAACATGAGTAACCTCTCTTCTATGCTCCATTTCACAGGCATCAGCAAAACCACTGTCCCTTAAACTACATCAAACTGTGAATGGTCTGATTTCCAATTTTTAAAAAGCTAGTGGGGTAAAAGGTCAACCTCTTCTTGTTTCTTTACTGGTACTTACATTGTGATGCTGATCAAGGCTCAAGCTGTGTGGCTAAATGAGGCCCTTGTATCATCATGGCCATTCTATAATCCCACTTTACACCTGAACATGGCAAAATTCTGCTGACACTCTGGCTGTGCCTCTGACTGAGCATCCCTTTTTCCATCTGTTACAGGACAACATGCACAGGGTCACTGACCAGCTGATGGACACACGTCCAAAGGAATGGCACCAGCCTGCTTATTCCTTCTCCAACGGCTACAGAGCGAAGCAGCATGCAAGACCCTCCCCCCGTGTTCAGGCCAGAACAGCAGGGACAGGGGGAGAGGAGCCCATTGGGGCAGAAAGGAACCATCTCTTTTCCTTTTTTCAAGAAAAATTATGAAAGGAGAAACCTATCCAATTATTCCTGCTTAGAGGTGCGAAGCTGGGGGCAACTACCCAGCTTCCCGCTGGACCTGAATCTAATCCAAAAGGAAAAACTAACCTTAGAGACTACACTAGTTACAATGCACCTGGTCTGAACAAAATGTTCACATGGATTGGAGATTTGCATCTTAATAGTGTGATACCAGCGGAGAACAACTGTTCTTAATCTTTAAAGCAAAGAGTGATAAACTTCAGGGTACGGTTTAGGCGCTTTGACACAGGCCACTTGGATTATTCTTTGAAGCAGAAACTAGTTGTCTTAACTTCATTCTCTCATGCTGGAGAAGGAAATAAACAACCCCAGGACAAGGCAATACAGGGGACTGATTTCTAGTGTCACAGTAAGAGTAGTGGAAAGGAGCAGCCTTCATGCACCTTCCCGTTCCGGCATGTGAGGGGGTCACTCACCACCGTAGCGGGGGTCCGTCGTCGGTCCCCGGAATCAGTCCATTCCGCCCGCACAGGCCTCCGCTCACGTGGCGTTTCCCCTCTGGAATCTTCCGGTCGCGTTGCTCTCTTCGCCACACTGCCCTCCGGCAGTGCCCAAGTCACTCGCTCTGAGCCCCCCTTCCGGGGGTTTGGTGTCTCTCCAGCAGGCCTGTCCGCAGGCCTAGCAGGCTGGCCGGTTGGCTGTCCGAGCGCCCTGGCCCAGCCTAACTCGCTAGCCCTGCCCTAGCTCCAGAGAGCGTCCTGCTCCCTCGGC